CAATCGTAAAGTGAAGTGAGGTCGTTGGCCGGATCCATGGAGGCTTCACAGTCATTGTAGTTCACCTTTGGACCAACGCCCAGCGAAAGAATGTTGGTCTTAACGCCCGTGAGATAAGCGGTGGAAGTGCAAGCGGAATCGGCCACCTGAGCGTTGGTGCAGTACGTCTAAAATAGCGGAATGTGTTTAGTGACTGAGCTGTGATTATAAAGAAAGAAGAGTGAAGACTCACTCTGCTCAAGGCGGTGTATGGAAATTTCTCGAAAGCGAGCTGTGACTCCTCACCCGGTTTGCCGTCACGCTGTCCCTTAAGTATGCGCGCGGCTGTGATTGTGGTCAGTGACATGCCATCGCCCAGAAAGAAGATAACATTTTTCGCTTTGTTCGTATTTGGTTGCTCGACCAGACGTTTTTGAATTTCGACACTCGCCATTTTGCGCCAATAATAAGGATCCAGTTCCTCAGTGGGCACAGCCGAATTATCTGTAGCCATGCCATTGGTCAACATATTTCTACGATTCAATCTCTCGAAAGAGAATTCGTGAGGGTCCCCTAATAAGAGTTATAACGGTTAGAATTATTGTAAAGAGAACTTGAGATTTGCTTACTCTCTGCACTGGCTGCGATTGCGAGTGTCAGTAATAGGATCTGTATTCCAAACCTTAACATTTTGCTAAGGCTAGTTCCACTTAAGTTCTGGATGGGTTTTGTTATGTTTGCGTGGTGTCTACCTTTGGTGGGATTACTTGCACCGATTTCTAAGGATTTCCAGCACAAGCGCTAGGGCCTAATGGGAATTGTCTTTCTAGTTTTCGGTGGCGTGCTTTAATGATATTTTTGCTTATGCTGTCAGGTAAATTTGTTATATGTAGATATCTATATATTTATATATGTATAATCAGATACTAGAAATAAATTGCTTTGTTAACTTTGGAAATTAAAAGGACATGGTGAAAAAAAATGCAAAAAGGGAAGACTTAAGAAAAATTTGACTTTTGAAAAATACCGAACAAAAATAAATTTTTTTCGAAATTTTTTCGGGACAGTTCATTTTTTTCTGTGTTTTCTGCGTTTTGCTTTACGAGATTATTCCGGGACTTTTTTGGATTTATTCGGGATTTTATTTTCGATTCGTTTGAATATTTTTTGGTTGTTTGGTACTTTTCGACATTTTCGCGACTTTATTTTTGGATCTTCCGGGGTTTTTTGCTACTTTTCAGTTTCTTCCGAGCTTCTCGAAAGTTTTCGAGACCTTTCAAGAGTCTTTGTGTTATACTTTTCGGGATTATTCCGTGACTTTTTTAAATTTATTCGAGATTCTATTTACGTTTTTTTTCAGGATTTTATTCAATTTGCTTCAATATTTTTTGGTCCTCTTCGAAATTTTCGCGATATTTTTCGATATTTCGGGGCTTTTAGCTGCTTTTCGGATTTTTCCGAACTCCTCGGCAATTTTTCGGGAAAACACAAGTTTTTTCGGGATATTTTGTGTTTTACTTTTCGGAATTATTCCGAGACTTTTTTTAGTTTTGTTCGGGATTTTATTTAATGCTTTTTTTTGGGGAGTCTATTCGATTCGTTTCAATATTTTCGATTTTTTTGGTACTCTTCGGAACTTTCCCGACCATATTCTTGGATCTTTCGGGGCTTTTAGCTGGGCTTCTGTTACTTTTCTGGTTTCTTTCGGAACTTCTTGGAAGAATTTCAAGACCTCTCAGTATATCTACCGAATTTTCGTGTTGTACTTTTGGGAAACGTGTCAGGACTTTTCTGTATTTTTTGTGTTTCATATTTCGAAATATTTTAAGTTTTTTCGGTATTTTTTGTGATGCTTTTTCTTCGCGTCTTACCTTTCGGTATATTTTGGAATTTTCTCGGCATTCTCCTAGTTAAACTTTTCAGCTTTCCGGAACCAAAAGAAAATTTAAATCTAAGCTTTGCTGTTTTTTTTTTTGCGGATATTATTGTGTTTCCTTATATTTTTGCTATGAAAAAATAAAATGCAGTAAGCATCCCTTATTTCTTACTCAAAATAATAGAAGAAAAAAGGAAATAAATTTTTTTGCTTTTCATTAATAAACGAAAACCCGATACGGTAGCTATGTGGCATTAACACTTATTAAAGCTTAAATTCACAAAATTCGTTATAATGAAGGTTGCAGAGTTACAATTTTCGAAAGCACGAAATAAACTGTTGCCTGACGTATACGAGGCTTATAATTGTACTAATGTTAGCATTGCTGTTTTCGGGCAAATGGAAAATAAAGTTTCGCCAATTCTGCTAAACGAGTGGAGTTGCCAGAAGAACATAATTATTTTAATGTTTGCTGGATTAAAAATGGCAACGGTTTCGGTTGATATGAGTTTCGAGATGAGGTTAGTAAGTGTGTACGCAAATGTGCGCCACCAAGTTTTTATTTTTTATACTAGTCGAGTTATCCTATGATTAATGGCAAAACATATTTGCTCAGCAGATTACTAATTGTTTGTGGAGTAAATCTGTGGACCCTTTTTCAATGTATTACCGAACAATTTCCCAATATGTATCTCAACTCTCAAATGTAAATTCATCAAAAATGTTTTATTTAGTATTTTGATCCTAGTTTTGTGTTGTATTGTAGATGAGAGATCGGCATGACTTATTTCGTGTATATTTAGTTAGTTTTGTAAATTTAATAATAATTTAATATTAATAGTAAACTCAGGTCCCTTTTTATTTTGATTGAATTTTTTTGATTTAAACAAAATTTTTTTTGTTTTAAACCAAATTTTTTTTAGAAAGTCATAACTGATGATGACGTTAAATACAAATATGAAGAATATTAAGAAAAAACACAATTTTGGTGGCAACACTGGTTTCTGCTTATTCTAATACCAACTACACATAAATAATGCAAATTAAAGGCAAAAAATAAATAAATAAAAGAACTGGATAAAAGTATTACATTGTTTCGACAGGAAATCAAATTATTCCAACTTAAGGCAGCTTATCGTAAAATTTATGTCAGGAGGTCGTTGAGCTTGCTGGCCAAGTGTTCAGTGTACCTTGTAAACACATTAGAGAGCGTCACTTTGAATGAAAGAAAAAAAGACTCGTAGCTTCCAACTGCAGTATCTTTTAAGGTGAATAGCATACCCTACAAGGGAGCTCTTAAAACTGAACTGAAGTCACATCAGTCGTTACTAACTAGTGCAAGTTTGTGCCGGTCATTGTTCGATAAGAATTTATGCGGTAGTGGATTTTTTTGGCTAAATAATTACACATAACAATAAGAGTGATGATAGCCAAAATTACCGAGAGGTCTCGTGATTACGATCCATTTATATACAAACATAATTTCTTTTATGTGAAAAGCTTTTAAACAATAATGAAATATGTAGATGACTCTCTGATCTAAATAATAAATTATTTTGGATTTAAGCATTCACAAATGAATATGTTTAGGTATATTTTTACCTACCCAAAAAAAAAATAGAAAAAGGTTTCACACCTTATATATTTGCGGAGTGTGTAGACTACACTGTAGAGTGTTGTCGACTGATAAGTGATGAAGCTATACACTGCGGTAAACAAAAAAGCGATAACAAAAAAAAACACCAATCAAATATGATAGTTTGCAGGTGTAATTGCATTTGGATATTTGAGCGTAATCGGTAAGTTAGGCAGCTAGACAGTTGGTAGCCAAACACCCACCATTGATGATTGTTCAGTTGGTAGAATGTAAATAAGCACCTTTTAAATAAAAACTAACTGTACTTTACTTGAATTAACATTTTAACCGAATGATATATT